AAAAAAAAAAAAATGCATTTGCAAACATTCTTTAGTTTTGTTTTCCCCCAATCAAGCTCACATTGTGCGTATCCTTTGATACCCACCTGATCCTGTCCCTGTCATTTTTTATAAACAGGACTTCGTAGCCGGGCAGCACCCTGCCATAGAAGCCCCCCTAGGCCACTGCAGTGACAGCTTCTGCCCTCTTTGCTCCTGTCAGTCCGCCGCAGTTGGCGCCCCGTGGGGACCCTCAAGGCTGAGCCCCCCGTCCCTTCTCGTGGTTGGGTGAGAGGCGGCTGGCACTTGCTGGGCAAACGCATGGGAAAGGAGCCGAAGCCACTGGGCTTGCCCAGAGTCCAAGCAGGGGGACAGTAGGGGACAAGCGGGTGAGAAATCGGGACAAGACCCTCGTCTCTGGTCCCTGCTTCCTGCCTGCCCTTGAGAGAAGCCTCCTCCTTTGGGTCTGGCACGCTGACCCTATGTCTTACACACTCAGAGGTCAGGGCACGAAGTCACCCCCGCCATCTCATTCCTGAAATGCTCCCTTTCGAGTGCTCTTCCACGTAGATGCAGTAGGCAGCTTGGCCTCTCTTGAACTTGGGTCCTGTAAAGAGGTCACCCGCCTGGATCACGCATGAGGAGCCCCTAGAGGTCAGAGCAGGATGGGCTGGGGGAGAGGGGGCCCTCAGGCACTCCTGGGCCAAGGTGGCACAGCAAGGTGGGCAGCACATGTAGAACCAGCCGAGTGCCGTGGCACATGCCAGTAATCCCCCTGCTCCAGAGGTTGAGGCAGGAGGATGGCAAAAATACCGGGGTGTACAGCTCGGTGGCCGAGAGCACCTGGTTCAATCCCCCATCGTGGCCCGGGGAGGACTAGGGTTCACTGAGCCCCCTCACCTGACAAACGGCGTCCTTCCGCCTGGGGAATGGGGCAGGAAGGGGCCCAGCACGGGTGGATTTCCGGCTAAGCCGAGGGCTGCCTGCAGCCAGCACCTACCCGTTCTGTCTCCGGTGTCACAGTCACTCCTACACCCCAAAGGAGGGCCCCACTCCCTTCCCAGGTCCAGCGCTGGCTCTGAGCCCCAGTCTGTGCGTCGCTCCCCCTGCACATCTGCTCATGCTGTTAGCAGGGCCACGGCAGCACGTCCATCAGCAGGCGGACCCAGGAAGCATCCTGTTTCAGGACACTGGACCCCTGGCCAGCCCAGTGTGGGTCCCTTCGAGAGTCCTGCCCCGTTTCCAGGCACCCAGTGGCTCCACGCATCCCACAGAGGCCGGAGCTGCAGGAACACAGGAAGTCCAGTGGAGAAAACCTCTTCCCCCGCTTCCAGAGAGGACGATGACAAATGATCAGAAGGGAGAGGGAGCAGGCATAATGAAGGCTCCCACAGCGAGGCTCCTTGAACTGTCTGCCTGATTTAAGAACTAATGACTGGGAGAGTCCTCACAGCCAGGGAGATGCTGCATGTCACCCACAACTGGCTGCCTCCTCCTGGGGCACCAGAGGCGTGGGCAGCCGGCTCATCCATCAGTCCTGGCACATGGAAAACTGCCAGAGCATCTCCATCCTGCTGATTAATAACTCCATCAGAGCCCTGTCCCAGGGGA